GGAAAGAGAAACTAAGCTCGAAATTTCCTTTTGTTTCCTCGTCGTTTTATTCCCCCTCCACGTAATATCAGCTTACGGGAGGTATCCCACGGTGGGTCGGTGGGCAAAAATCGTGCAACTTCTTTCTTTCCCAAAGGTACTTCACCCCGCGAGGTGGGCCGGGGTCAAGTACACGAGGCGCGGGGTCGAGGCGCAATTTCGGTAATTCCCTCGCGCCAAATCTTGGGTTATCGAACCTTTCGAAGGGCCCTGCGCGTTTAGGCGACCCATCCCCGCCCCCTCCTCTTAGGAATCGCCTCGAGGGGGCAGAATTGAACGAAGCGAGTCGGGAGATCGCTCTTTCTCGATACGGGCCATGCTTCACCCACCCGTTCCTTCCTTGTGCGGGGTCATCGAGAAATTCGACGGGAGGTCGTGCATGAAGGTAGTACGCGTCGCGGAATTTATAGCGAGAGAGAGAGAGGGGGGATAGGCTTTAGTTTACGAGTGGATGATTTTTTAACAGGGTTCGGGGATTTTCGGTGCAAAGATGATGTATCGAAGTCGCGATCGGGAAGCAAGGGGTAATTGTAGAGAGGATGACGGTATTCGGGTTTATTATTAGCGAAAGTACGGGGTAATTTTTTCTTTCTCTTTTTTCGGATTTTTTTTTATAAAATTTATAAAAAGTCTTTATTTATATTCGTTGAATAAAAAAATTCGGTACTTTTCAAATTATTATTCGGATACGGATGGAAAATTTAATTTACGAAATGTTGACTGGGCAGTGGAAAACAATAAAAAAAAATATACGGGTTTAGCTGAATATATTTTATTATACGTGATTGCGCGTATCTGTTTATAAAACATTTGAAATACGTGTATCGAAGAGAAACAAATAGCTACCAACTATGAAATAATAATGTTGCTGACAACATTCAATAATGAAATCACATATAAAATTTCAATGAACTTTAAATTCTATAACACGAAATCCGCAAGGATTTATAAATATTAGAGTGTCCCATAAGTTTCTTTCTTTCTTTTTTCACGAAATGAATACACGATATTTGTTGTTCAAAGTTAATTTATTGCGTTATATATACGAATCATTTTGTTCTATCATTTTCTTCCATCTCTCAGGAAGCCTCATTATCCCTTTCTCCAAATTGTTTATTTGCAAAATATTCCTCGAGCTGCTCTTTTATTTCGCTTACGGATTGGAACTGTTTAATATGGAGAAAATTTTTTAATAACAGGAACAAGTAATACACAAGTAATAGAGGAGGATCCGAGGGAGTACGGAATGGAATGATTTACGAGGAAGCAGAGAGAAAGGAAGTCTATTCTCTTCAAATGGAACATCGATAAATTTGGTTGGCACGAGTTTAAAGTCGGTGTCCAATTTTTCGTCCCGAATTTCTGCACCCCCAACCGGTGGACCGCCCTCTCCTCTTTTGTTCCAACGACGGAGACCCGGCGATATTATTCCTTCCCAGCAGGATTTCCCTCGCCCATTATCGTTTAATGGCCGTGCCGTTAGCGAAATCTATTAACGAGGAGAAGACCTTTTCGTTGGACAAACGAATTCGAGGTTTCGGTTCGAGCCTGACGATCCTCTCTCACGATCGCGAAAGTAAACGCTTTCAGTTGCGTGTTAACCGCATTTTAAACGATTATATTTCGTGTGATTTATAGCTCGTCATGTAGAATCGTGCTTACACCTTCCTATCTTTGATAAGAATGCGTTTCGTGAATTTTTTATCCGAGAGAAAATTGCGAGGAGGATGGGTCCAGGATGAGGAGACGAAGAACAATCAAACGAATCCGAAACGAATTTTTGGTAATTTCCTGTTGATGGATTTTCGAGTATAAGGACGTATTTTTACTTCGAAGTGATAATACGGAAATAATTGAGAAATGAGCACGATATTTCATCATTATCATCGTCATCAGAGATAACAAATTACCGCGTATAAATGTTGTTATTACGTTGCGGTTCGATCAATCAATCGAGTAACGGGGGCATCCATGGATCAAATGAATTATTAATTATTATTACTCGTGATTCATTACTTGAGCGAGTAAGTTAATGCGTCTACCTGGTTACAAGTATGCCTGCATATCTCTCATCTTTCGTTCACGGTACCAATATCTCGATTCGTATCCTGTTGTGTCCAGCAACAACTTGTACGAATCTTCATATTTTCCCCTCCCCAGTTATTCTTCCACGCTCGATAGTAACCTTAAAACATATTATCCCATTTATTCCAAATATTATCCCAACCTGTTTAAAATTATCCAACAATAATTTAAACAAATTTGCGCAAAAAATCTTCGCCTGATTAATTATATTATTTATTCCTATTCGCAAGGAAAAAAAGAAAAGAACGAACGAATAATAATAATAATAATAATAAAGAGAAGGAGGCGCGGATTCGGACGCCAGTTAAATTTAACCCGCCATTAATGAAACGAGATTACGTAGATGGCGCTCGAGGAATTCCCCGAGTTTTAAACGAGCTATTTGTCGAAGATTTAACGCGCCGATTTCTCATTCTGTTCCCTCGAATAACGCAATGATTTCGTATTCCTCCGCGTATCCAACCCCTTCCCCTCTCCAATACGTCACGATAAGGCAACCAATAAGTAAGTAAGTAAGTAAGTAAGTAAGTAAAGGGTCGAAACGATCGAAATACATTATTTAGGCGAGGATCCAATTTGTATAATTTGCGACGGTCGTTGTTAAAATATTGTCTCGAATAAATTTCTGGAGGGGAGGGGGATCTGCTCTCGTGATTATCGGTGTGCTCTTCATCCCCTCCTCCTTGGCCTGGCTGGCTGGCTAGTTGATCGGTTGAATAACTATTTACTTGGGACCTCAGCGGGATGCCAGAGATCATTATACGATACTTAACGATAGTCATTAACCACTTTCGTGCACGGTGGCGCGTACATTTCGGGATGTTATCATTCCTTCTAAATTTCGAATCGCCCTCGTCGTTACCTTGCGCTTGTTCGAGACGTTTCTTCTCCGTCATTCTTTTGTTTCTCTCTCTTTTTTTTTTTTTTTGGTTTCGTTCGAAGAGAATCGCGTGTTGCTTGCGTGTAGTAGGCAGTATTAGGTCTTTGAAAAGGGGACATGTGTTCGAAGGGATGTGGTTTGTACTTTTCGAAGGGATTTTTATTCGAAACAATTACGTCGGAAGTGGTTTCCAAGCGGAGTGGTTTTTCGCCAGGTTTATTTTATTTTTCTATCGATTGTTTCTTTTTTTTTTTTATTTATTAATCCCCTTGCGTGCTACTCCTCTGTAGGAAATTACAGAAACGAAAAAGTTGAATTTAATAATTTTCGTAGCTATTATTATAATTATTTTGCAATTATTATTACGTTTCGATAAATTATTGAAAACTTGGACTATTGAATTTTCGTTGCTTACCTGAATAAAAAGAAAAGGTTGCAATAAGAAAAAGTAGTTTCTTTGACCCAGAAACAATGAACTCGGTGAATTTCACGCAATTGCTTCTTGGTCGACGACGAAATGAACGTTGAATAACGCCAATTACGCGTGCAACTCTGATAATACGACCGGAATTAATTAAACCGCCGATTGAAAATTAAAAAAAGGAAACGAGCAGCTCTGTGAACCAAGGTTAATTAACATATATCCTATTAGCGGCGGGACAAGATTTGGAAATGTTACGATAGGTCAA